AGACTTTTATCGCATCGCGTCCCGCAATAATGACCTGGAAGTAGATATATACGAAACTCCCCGAGTTGATTGCTTGATTGATTGATTGATTGATGCCTATCTACGGTAATGGACCTCCGTTATTCATTTACGGAGTATCTTTCACATACTTACTTACTTTCCGTCTTTGTGTGCTGTCCAGATTTCTAATTATATCACCGACCGAAACGAAACGAAACGGAACTATTGATTTCGTAGACCTTCTAGAAGGAAATGATATATTGAAGGCAACTAAGTCCCCGAGATGATCGGATCGGCCATACATAGTAGCTTTGCCTCATTTGGTTCATTGGTTACGTGTGGAACATTGAATGCTGTGGTAGGAGTAGAGTAGTCATGGTTGTGTGTGCGTGGTGATGGATGGATGGATGCATGCATTAGGGACGATCTGTGTAACGCGTGTTTAGTAGTAGTTGATGGGGATCGCTTATTGTCGGTGTTTGAGGTGAGGTTGAACTGCTGGGGTTGAACCTTTGTTTTTGTTGTGGTTAAGTAGTACGTAGTTGGTGGGTGGGATGTTTGTGTCACTGCGTGGTTACTGGTTATTATGATGTTGGTTGAGGGTTGGTTGTATACTTTTTGGATTGCCAGATCAGTGTGGATTTTTCAGTAGTATTTGCCTGTGTATTGCATCGTGGTCGTAAAGGGTGCAGTTAGTACCATTGGTATGAGTTTTGAAGACTAATGCCATCGACAGTGTCATGTAGGAGGACGTGATGTTGAGTGTATCTCTCCCCGTCAACCACTACTAAAAATATATATCTACATTGCCGCATGATCACAAGCAACAACCACACCAAACCTACAATCACCACCAAACCATCACAATAACCCCTTTCAAATTCTATAATTCATGTAAATAGTATCCCACTATTACACCCACCACCAAATCCAACCCCCTCAACCACTGCAACCATACCAACTCCATCACACTGACACCAATTCATGCACCATGACCGCCGGACCGGCAACGACGTCATACCCGCCGCCTTTCTTTCACCGTTTGCGACCTCTCATCAACCCACACCAACCTGTACAATGACGACCACGCAATAGTGTCATCACGATCAGCGTGAGTCGACCTATTTGAACATCCAAATTAACCAAATCCACACACATACGCACCATGGCTGGAGAGGAGGAGCTAGCATTACACCGCGATCACGTAGGTTGTCCAGCAAATCCATTGATCATCGCAGAATGAAGCTAACTTATCTAAAAGAGTCGCGGCGGAACGGATGGTTATTCATCAGATACGCATAATCAGCTCGAGGTAATTATAATTTCGATATATCGCAATGACCGGAGTGACTAACACAAGACATATCTGCTAGGTCGTCCTCCAACCCGAATGCAGCCATCGTCGCAAATCCTCCCTTGTCATGGCGGACGATCCCATGACGAGACCTGATCTCTCACATGCCGACCAGACGACAGCGTGTTTCGTGCACTCGCTGATAGCAGGGGAATGGGGGGATCCGACGAACAAAGTGAAGGTGCTAGAGGGGGTATTGAAGGGGACCAAGGACGAGAAAAAAGAAGAAGACGAAGCAGCGATGGAGGAAGACGACGAAGATGAGATAGAGAAAGAAATGATGCAATCACGACACCTGACGAAGAAGCAGTTATCCGATATGGCGTGGAACGTGCGCAAATTGTCCAAGAAGCTGGACAGTATCAAGTTGAAACTCACGGTCAAGACGGTATTCCTGGTCACCAAAGCGGGCGATCAATCGGTGATTGGATCGACGAGGGAGGTCGCCAGGTGGCTTCTGTCGAGGGATCGCGATACGCAGTATAATGTGTATGTGGAGAAACGGTTGGAGACGGATCCGGAGTTCGGTGCAGCAGAGATCTTGAGGGAGGAGCCGACGGCGAAGAGTCGACTGAAGTACTGGGATCATGAGCTGGCGGCGGAGAGGGCTCATTTGTTTGATTTTGTGGTTACACTGGGAGGAGATGGTACTGTGCTGTTTACGAGTTGGCTGTTTCAGCATGTGGTGCCGCCGGTGTTGTCGTTCTCGCTTGGTTCGTTGGGCTTCTTGACCAAGTTTGACTTCAATGAGTATCAGAAGACGCTGTCGGCTGCGTTTAAGGATGGCGTGGTCGTCAATCTACGACTACGGTTTGAGTGCACGATTATGAGGAGCAATCCATTGCCGAAGGGGGAGTTGGGCCCCGGTGGGAAACGGGATTTGGTTGAGGAGTTGATTGGGGAAGAAGGTGATGATACACTAACGCATAGACCGGATAAGGTGCTTCAGATATTGAATGATGTTGTTCTTGATAGAGGGCCGAATCCTAGTATGTCCTCTCTGTTACCTTATCGCATGGAGTGCTTGCTAACTGGTTGTATAGCTATGTCCTCGATTGAGTTGTTTGGCGACGATGAGCATTTCACAACGCTGCTTGCCGATGGTGTTTGCATAGCGACACCAACCGGCTCAACTGCGTATAACCTCGCAGCAGGAGGCTCACTATCTCATCCGGATAACCCTGTTATTCTCGTCACTGCAATCTGTGCCCATACACTCTCCTTCCGGCCTATAATACTGCCAGATACGATTGTTCTCCGAATGGGAGTACCCTACGATGCTCGAGCGAGCTCATGGGCTAGCTTTGATGGCCGGGAGAGGTGAGTTACGTCGACGAGTATATATAGAACTGATGGCTAATCAGAATACAGGATCGAATTACACCCAGGAGATTATGTGACTGTTTCCGCCTCGCGGTATCCATTCGCGAATGTTCTACCCCGTGGTCGACGTGGAGACGACTGGGTGCACACTATATCCAAGACACTGAATTGGAACTCTAGACAGAGGCAGAAGAGCCTCGACCCGGTGGATGAAGCAAAGCGCAATAAATAAGAACTTGCTTGCTAGCAACGAGCATATGGACATGTTTACGATTCGACATACAATATTACCAAATACGGAATTTTATGCATACTGCCATAAACATGAATATGAATATATGTAACATAACATGAGAAAGGAGAACTACCTCCTAACAAAATGATGCGCGCTAAACTTGGCGAGAAATCGAACGTTCGATTTCTTTCGTAGCGGAGGCTGGTGATGAAAATTCGGCCTCTCTAGAATCTTCGTATGGGTCGGCGGGTTTCCCGGGCAGCCTGAGGCCGACTATAAAAAGGGTCTTCCCGCACCGAAATTTTTCTCTTCTTTTTCTTCGCACTTCAACTCATGTGTTGAGAAAAAATCTCACAGACGACAAAATCTGGTCGATTGGAATTTTATGATGATTCCCATTGAGTGCTGTAGCACTTACTAGCGACCTTTACTTTCTCACATACAGCAATTGCATTGTGCGACTAACTTGGTAAGTTCTACAACTTTTTTTTCCTGCTTCGCAACCTACCTGCCCCAACGACCAGAACCTTCGCTTCAAGGCGAAGGCTTCTTATGATGAAAACTTTTCCTACATTCGCAGTTTCCACGCTAGTCGTCGCCATGAACCCATCATAGACGGCTCTGTGCGCAATACTTCCTTGGATGTCTGACTTGGTCGTCAAATTCTTTTTTGATTTTGAATCACCATTGGTTTTGCCGCGAGCATATGCTAATATTGCTTGCTTAGAATAGGTTTATTGGCTTTGATAGCTCTATACCCTGACAGGGTTCGATATTTGAAAGAGAGGAAGGGCAAGTTGGGACTTCGTTGATACTTGCTCAGGGATTAGTTAGATCTATTCGCAATGGATATCTGTTTGATTGAAGATTGTTCGCTCGCAATTTCGTAATACACCTGTATATTCTGCAGACCGTAAAGTAGAGTCCTTTAAATCTCTACTAGAGACAATCTTGTAGTACTCTGCCATGGCATGCGGCTCAATTAAGCCTAATTCCAAGCACCTGAGGCCATCACCGAAACTGCATGACTGCGCCCCTGCCTCCCCGTAGCTTCTTCCCCCATGCCGCCTACCGGAGGGACATCTATCAACAGCTTCGGCCGCTCCTCGTCGGCCATTCAATTCCACCCTACACTTATGAACCGGCAAGACCATATCCTCTGAACCTCGAAATTAGAACATCAGAATGACCGACTAGCTCAGCGTGAACAAACCCCTTTGTCGTCATCCACCACTACCAACTTGAATACCTACACATACTGTCAACATGGCGCAACCCGCCCGCCACGCCGCAATGCTATCCATTAGCAACAGCGGCCCAAACCTCCCCGTGGCAGCAGCAGCAGACAGACAGCAACCAGCACAACACATCCACACGCAATCCCAATCAAGCCAGGGTCTGCGCGTCCCGTCAAACCGCAAAACCATCTACGATAGACACCTGAACCGCAGCCGCAATGCGGAGCTCAGCCGGGCTAGCTTCGCCTTTCTGTTCGCCGAGATGGTGACTTATGCTCAGAGACGAGTGACGGGGATTCAGGATTTAGAACGACGGTACGTATAAGCTTTGCTTCCACATCCGCCCCCCCTTCCATACCATGTACTGACGAATGATTGATCATGTAGATTGAACGAACAAGGCTACCCCCTAGGTCTCCGACTCCTCGACCTCCTCTTCTACCGCACCATGTCCAGTTCCACCTCCTCCGCTCTATCCAGCTCCTCCTCGACTTCTTCCTCCCCTCCCAATCGTCCCCTCCGCATTCTCCCCCTCCTTCATCTCATCCACGGCCCTCTCTGGCGCCTCCTGTTTAATCGCCCCGCCGATGCCCTCGAGCACTCTGTCTCTCCCGAGACGCCTAATGAATATATGATCACCGATAATGATCCCCTCGTTAATACGTATATTAGTGTGCCCAAGGAAATGAGCATGCTTAATTGCGCCGCCTTCGTGGCGGGGATTATTGAGGGCGTTTGCGATGGGTGTGGATTCGAGGCGAAGGTCACCGCTCATAATCAGCCTACGGAGATGTGGCCTGGCAGGACGATATTCTTGTTGCGCTTTGGGGAGAGCGTTATGGAACGGGAGAAGGTCTTGGAGAGGGCCGGCGTTAAATAAACATATAGGATATATAATGATATCCTTGTGCGGCGGCTGTTTATTCTATTCTTTATGGTGTATGATCGGCCATTGTTTATGCAGCGATTTGTTTCAGTATTATAGAATGCGAACGGGTTCTTGTGATGTGTGGTGTTATGGGTTAGGTCGGTTGGGTGTGGGAAGAGGTACGGTTCATATACGACAGTCGCAGCAGCATTCATTGTTGATGCCGACACGATGAGTCCGCTCGAACATCTGTGTCTTGTATGTGCAACAACAAGATGTGATATTTACGTTGCTGTTCGTCCGCCGAACGAACACGCAGGTAGAGTCTATTCTCCTAGGCCACATTAAATGCAGGACGAAATGCATCAACCATGACCCAATCCATCCTTCATACCAAGATACCAACGAACGCCGTTCAGAAATAGAATGTCCATATGTCCCTGGTTTCATGCTTCTCTTTTACCGTTCGGGCGAAACACTCACGCGCCTCCGTTTCTCCCGATCTTCATAAGGCGACGGGCTCCGTTTCCTGCGACTGCTCGTATCAGGCCTATACCGGTCTGCTGAACGATCGCGACGGTCTCGCCGCGGCGAGCGTGATCGCGATCTAGACCTCCGTCTCTCGCGCACAGCAGAGGCATTAGCCCCAGTAGGTCCCTTCGGTCTATCATCACGGTCACGGTCAGGCATGAATCGCTCGTCAGTAATGCCTATAGGGGCTCCACCATCACGATTCCGAGACCTGTTCTGGAACCCTTCGCCAAAGCGACCCGTGTCCTCTGACTTCAAATCCCTATAGCGCGTGCGTCCCTTCTTTCCAAGCTTCGTCATATCACGGATCTGCATGTACTGAGGTAGAGTCTCCCGCGAGACATCGTCCGCAAACTTCGCACCCATGATATTCCTCTGTGCCAGTCCTTCGCGCTCCATGTCCTCGCTGAAAAACGCTCCCTTATGGAAGTACCGCTGCATGTATCCGGCCTGACCTCGAGTAGCCTCCTTCTCTTCCTCCTGCTTGGCGAGGTATTCGCGATCTTCGCGATCGCGCTCCTCGGCAGTGAGATTCCTGCGCCGCTCGACCTCTTCACGCTCCTTCTCCGCAGCCTCGATCGCTTCACGCTCGCGCTTGATGCGCTTCAGTTCTCGGAGCTTCCACGCTGCGTACTCCGCCTCTGGATCCTTTCCGTCCGTATCATCAATCGCGCCTTCTTCGCCCACTTCGAGCTCGTCGTCATCCCACGCTCGATTCGTCTCGCTCCGAGCAATGGCGTCCTTCTCCAGTTGTTCCCGAATCAAAGCGTCGGCTTTCTCCTGTCGCTGTTTCCGACGCTCCTCTGTCTCGGCTGAGGAATCCACCACCGTGCCTGTCGCGGCTTGGCCGTTCTGTGTTTGAGCGGGGGCGTTGTTGCGCTTGTCTTTCTTGATGAACGTAGGTCGTAAAAGCACTCTGCGCGGTGCCTCGTCTTCGGAACTGCTCTCTTCTTCCGAACTCTCTTCCTCTTCATCCTCTTCCTCCTCTTCTTCTTCTGACCCTTCCTTCACCGTAGCCGTCCGCGCCGGCGCAGCCGCAACCCTGTCGCCAGCAACAGGAGCAGCCGCCTTCGCAGGCTTGGCCTCGTCTTCTTCCTCCTCATCCTCCGTCACAAACCCCTCTTCATCCTCATCTGCTTCCTCTTCCTCAATATTCACATCCTTAACCCCCCGAGCGATCTTCGCCGCGCCCGCAGGAAACGAGCTCGCCTTGGGAGCCTGTCGTCGCTGTTGTTCGAGTCTGCGGCGTTCCTGCTGTCTCTGTCTCTCAGCTTCCTTTTTGGCTTCTGCTTCCTCTTCGTCCTCTTCTTCCGATGATGAGGGCTCCTCGGCGATGGCTTTGCCGGGTCGGTATCTGCTTGGTCGGACGGGGTTTGCGGTCATGCCGCGATGGGAGGAGGGGAGGGGAGGTGGCATGTCGATGTGATGATAGTAATTTCTTTCCCAATTAAGGATTTATGAGAAATGCGCCAGGTTTAATTTTATCTCCTATTCAGCAGTGATATTGATATAGAAGTGTAGCGCGTGGCGTTGTTCTGGACTGTAACTCTGTAAAAAAAGAATTACCGGCAGTCGGAGTTCATACTTAGCTCTCTCTCTCTCTCCGCCTTAGGCCAAGATCTAGACATGCAGAAAGCTCCGGATAATCACATGACCACGCGTCACGCGCGCCGCGCCTCTATCCCATCTACTACCCACTAACTAAACTACTGTGATCAATATCATATCAATATCAATTCCAATCCCACCATTACTCACCCCTCTACCTCCAAATACCCAGCATACGAACAAGCAAACCAACCTACCAACACCACCACCATCAACCAACCATCAAGTACAGGAAGTGAAAGAAAGGAAACAAAAATGTCCCTCCAAACCCCCCGCATCCTCCCCTCCCACCTCCACGCCTTTCACCCCTCCTCCACCGGCCCACGCACCTCGCATACCGTCCGCATCCTAGGAACAGTGACTGCTCTGCGCGGCGACACGGCGACCATGACGTGCGGAAACCACGGCGATGTGACGCTCATCTTGAAGCCCGATTCGCATTTGCAGATGGGAAAGTTGGTCGAGATTATTGGCAAGGTCGCTGATTTGGATAATGGGAGTGTATGTTCGATACCTTTCCCCCCTCTTAGCTTTTCGTTTTCTGGTGTCTTTGGGGGTAGGGTTGGGTTGGTTTTGGGATGGATCATGGCTAATTTGGCGTTTTTGTGGTGTTTAGGGTGTCGGTATTAGAGTCTTGGGTAGTACGGATTGGGGGAGTCCGGCGGATTGTGGTATGTTCTTTCCCTTTCTTTTCTTGTAAATGAGGAGCAGAAGGGGATAAGGAGAAGGATAAGGAGCTAATTGTGATGGATGTGGCTGCAGATTACAAGATCTATGAGCATGTTGTCAATGCTACGCATAAGCTCAAGCCTATCTTTTATGATGAGTGAGTGGCCGTTAGGGATGATATGGTATAGAAGAATGGGTTAGTGGACAGGTAAAAGGCATGCTGAGCTACGTAAGATATCTTGCTGTGCTGGGTGGTTACTAGTATCTTTATGTGTCCTGCAGCTGAGGTGTCATTTGCATCGTGTTCGGGTTATTCTTCGGCGTTGGGTTAATTTACGATATCTGTCTATCAAATTATTATACGATCGATTTACGATCTACTACAGTAAACACAGCTTGTCAAATATTATTCATTTATTGTATGTTAAGCATCGAGTGCTGGTATCTTGTTCTAATCCTTCAATCCTCCCAAGTTTCCATCCGTAATATCCATCCCATTCAAACCACTTCCAACAAAAGCATATCATAGCCTTAGGTTATCCCCAAAGAAAGACAGTAGCGGCAGATGGCACATCACCATTGCCTATCCATCCAACGCCATCGCTAGAATAAAAACACAAGTTGTAAAGAAATATCAAGTGAAAGTCGGCATCGTCATAACACAAAAAGGAGACTCATTAAGCATCATTGGTAGTCTGGGGTTCCTTGTCCTTGGCTGCTTCTTCAGACGCCTTCTCTTTCACGCCCAGGGCCAAGCTGTCGGCGTTGAGTGCGTCGGAACTGAAGAAGCCAGAGTCCAGGACGTTGTTGTCAACGTAGTTGAAAATATCGAATTGGGGGTTCTTTTGGAGGTCTGGATCAGACAGCAGCGCATTGATGAGATCCTGGGAGTCTTCACCAGCTGGCTCGCCGTCTGTTCCCGTGGGAGACACATAGTCCGAAGGGATCCAGTCAGGCCAATTGCCCTTGTTCGCATCAAGTGCGAAAAGCGCGTCAGCATTGGCAGAAGGTGCGTCCGAGAAGATATCCACGATCATGTTGTCTATCCCGTTAAACGCGTCCGTGCTGAAGGCATCATCTGCCAAAGCGGGAAGCCCAAGGCCCTGCGTGCGTGACTGCTTGGGCGTTCTGCTGTGCCGCGATGCCGGCCCCGGGCTGCTCTGGATCCGCTGAAGTCTTTGCGCGGTGACCCTGGTGGGCGTCGCGTCGCTGCCAAGTCCCTTCCGCGTCCGCGAAGGCGAATCGCCGGGAAGGGAGTGCCGCTTCTCGCCCAGAACGCTGGCGCGGGGGTTGCGACGCCGAGGAGTGGGACTGGTAGGCAGGTCAAAGTCAAATTCGGGACTCTCGAAGAGGTCGTCCAGGTTAGCAGAGGTCTGGTTTTCCTTGTCGTCAGATCGCTTGTCCGATCCGCTAGTGACACGAGGGCTCCGCCGGGGGCTGTTCAAGGTGGAGTCACCTAAAGCTCGCAAAGGCCCGCCCTCATTGTGCGAATTAGGAAAAAGCACTCTTCTCACAGACTTAGGAGTAAGAGCATTCTCACCCGCAGCAGAAGCATTGCGGTGCTCAAGATTTCTAGCTGGACTGGACTGGATCGCTGCTCGGAGGGCTTCCACCGGATCATTCTCGTGCCAACGGCTTCCCGCAGTATCGGTCGATTTGCGCGGTTCCAGACTGTTTGCGCGGCGTCGCTTGGCTGGCAGCTCCTGGACATCATCATTGTCCTGCACACTGCTCGGCTCGTTCTCGTTGTTCTCGTTGTTCTCGTTCTCGTTATCACCGCGGGGAGTAGTGCCGTCGTCCACTGGAGGTGAGGATGCATCAGATACGCCGGGCGAAGAGGCATCTGGCTTTCCGGCTTCAGCTCTGACGCGGTTCCTCGCCGATGGAGGGTTACCGGACAGCGGACCGCCGCCCTTGCGGTTCCTGGGAGGGCGCTTTCTCTTGTTGTTGCCGGACTTGTTGTTCCACTTGTTTTCTGGCCGCATGCACTTGAACTTGTGAAGCCAAAGACCACAGGCTAGAATATTATTAGTGACTGTAAAATGAACTGACTGGAGGGTTACTTACGATTGCAGAGTAGGACTTGAACAAAGTCCTTATCGGTATCCACGAGGCTCTTCTTGTAGATCTTGAATTTGGTGACCTTTTCTTGATCATCGCGATCCACGGCTTGCCAGAACAACATAGCAGAATCTTTGACAAGGTCAATGGCCTCTTCTTCAGTACCATCGATCTCCTTGGACCATGCCCTACGCCAGGTAGGGGTCTCAATCGAACCGCAATTTTCACAATAAGGAGGAGCCTGTCCGTCCCGAATGCACTGGGCAAGACGTGCCTGAACCTGTCGCACTCGTCTCGCACCAGCGCCACTGCGAACCTTGCCGTCCTCAGTAGGGGGTGGAGGGGCGGGCGTTTCCGCGACTGAAAAGTCACTCATCGGACCATTCCAGGATTGCGTGTTGGGCACATGCATGTGGGTAGGCATTACCGGATCACTTGCCGGGATAGCACTCATCAGCTGCTCGAGTTCGCTTTGCGACATGGGAGCGGGCGCAAGAGGCTTAGGAGTTTGTCTGATACCGGCACGAGACGATGGCCGCGACCCCGCAGCACTAGCTGGGGCACGAGGAATGGCAGATACCTTGTCCTTAGCAGTTTGATCCGGCAGGGCATCGCTGGCGGGATAAGTATCATGGGTCATGGGCCCAACAGGTGAGCTCGCTGGCACAGCAGGACGCACACTTCGTTTGCCTCGAGTTGCATCATTGGACCTTGTGCAGTCCTCCAGCGGCGTACCAATATCCTCATCTAGGAGATCGTCCATGCCCCCACTCATGAAGCCCGAATCCGGGTCAGTGGCCATAGGCGGGAGAACTGGGCTGGAGCGGTTTGGAAAGCCGCAGTCGAGAACGGGAGGCGAAGAAGGCATATTGAATGAAGGCTCGAAGATGCCTTGGTAGCGAGACTCCTCCGGTGACTGGGTGTTGTGGTCACCTGGATGATCATCGGCCGCAGTGTATGGTGACGTGTACTGAGGAGTGCTCTGCATTGACGACTCACGCAAGAGGCTGGGCCGGGGGCGTGCTCGGCGAGGCAGTTCATTTGCATTAGAAATCGGAGTTGGCGGGCGAACAGGCTCCTCATTTGAGCTCTGAGCTGCAGCGATTGAAGGATTGACGGGGGTAGGGCGATGGATACGCACGGACGCCGCAGTGCTTGCGGCCACACGAAGGGAGCTCGGTTGCCTTTCAATGTTCAAGTCTGACTTGCCAGGCCAATCCGCACGATACAATTTGGCTCTTTTCCGAGGTTGCTGTTCCGATGATTCATCACCACTACCGTAGCCGGACTGCATGGATCCTCTGCGGCTGGCATATCTCGCATGCATAGGGAGATCAGACTCGCGCATAGAAGCACTCGATGTCGGTCGAATAAGTTCGCTGTGAGATCTTTCCTGGATTTGGTCTTGCTGCTGCGCGGATGGCTGGAAGCCAGGGGTGGACATCCTGCTTCCATGACCAAGCACAGACTGTGAGGGCGACACCGAGCGAACAGACCCATTGGCGGCAATCGAAGGCAGCTCCCTTGGCGTTGAGCCTTCACTCAGTAGGCGATGGAACCGCTCAATTCCGGCATGGTCCACAGGCGATGCCGTCCGGTCGGGCTGTTGAGGACGATGGGCCAGCAGACCGGGGTTTTGGCGAAGGAAATTCGTCCAGGCCTGTGCGTCAAAGTCGTGGGGAATGACATTGCTCAGTTCGCGATATCTCTGCATGCTGTCCAGGTACTCGCTCTGCATGACCGTGGGAACAGGAACTAATCGCAATTTGACCTCCAATGTTTCCTGTGCACCTTTCGAAAATAACCCTAGAACATTCTTGCAGACACGACCGGTGACCATAGTTTCCGACTGATGTGCTGGTGCATCGGGAGTCGGGGAAGACGAAGCCAATACCCATGATAGCATCCCTTGTCCGACGAGGGGCGTCTCATATTCGGAGTAGTCGTAGGCGTACACCGTGTAATCCTGTCCAAGTTTGGCAACTAGTTCCGGACTGTCACATGAAACCATTGCAATAAGTATCCACGTAGTGTCGGTTGACCCTATGGCGAAAGCACTCACCTTGCCGAAACAATGGCTTGAATGCAGGTCTTCAATTCGATGACCCCAATTTGGGTCTTCTCATCGAGGGCAGCAGTCTGGATGTCGAGAAGATGGGGCCATCGGGCCAGACAATTTGTCTTGTTGGCATCGTCGAATGTGTAGAGCACCTTCACTGCAAGGTTCGAAGCCACACAATTAGTATCGAACAAACCTGACGTGCCACGAAAGGAAAAAAAATTACTTACGCCTCATAGGCCGGACGGAAATCCCGTCCTGAGAGTCCATGCCACCAGATGAAGGAAATCAACCATATGCTGGACCACAAAATCAGAGTGTAGAGTGAGAGTAGGGTTCCGGAGAGAGAGAAGAGGGTTGCACCCGGATTGCTCGGAAGGTATTTCGAAAAGGGAGTGTCGAAGGTGTAACCCGAACAACAGGGTTCAAGAGATCGACCGTTGAAAACGAAGCAAGGTGGGATTGTAATAATATCGTTGGATATGCGTCTAGCGTTATCGACCACTCAGAAAGGCCCAATTGGCGGGAGTGTCAGCCAGGGGAATGCCGAGGCGTGGATGTACTATGCAACGGAGGTCGCGGGGAAAGAGCCTGTGGAATGCCAACGCGGGACACGGAGCAACGAAAGGAGGAGAGGGTGCGGTGAGAAACCTGAGGCATGGGAGAGAGGAGGAGGTTTCGAAGAGAGAAAAGGAAGAGGAAGAGATTAAACCAATGTGAGGCACTGGAGGTTGCTCCCTTTAACCGCAGGCCGAGGAGTTGGGGGGGAGAGGGAAAAAGGAGGAGGGACAGAGGTGAGGGTGGAAGGAGAGAAAAAGCGCAGACGCCTTGCATTTGAAGAAGTGATGAAGCTTGGACGAGAGCGCATCCGAGCGTGTCGGACGCGACGTGACGCCCAGCCAATCGCGCGCTCGGCTATTCCCGCCGCTCAAACACGGCAAACACGCGTGGCACGTGACAGCACCCGCGCCAAGCCAGGCTTCCAGAACAGAAGCTGCGGATTGAGATGCTCTCAAGTCGTCCCCGATCAAGTTCAAGCCTGTCCTTGCTGTCCTCCTCTGCACCGGCACCTCCCACCTCATATTTATACTCGCGCCCACCATGTCGACCGATCCCAAGATCCAGTAATTACCCCTCTTTTCCTACCCTCCTTTACATCCCGATGAGTCATTAGCTCTTGTCATGGTGTAATCCGCTTCTCAACCTGCCGGACCTCATTGCTAACCTTGTCTTGCAATTCAATAGGGACCTGCTCAACAAGCCTAAGAGCGAGCTCACGTACGTTCTCGAACCCCTCTTCTTCTTTCCGGCTTTCATCAAAGCTTCCTATTCCCGTGTTCCTATCACATGATGCCCGATCCTCTGCACACCTATCATTACAACTACCCATGCCCACCACATCCATGATATCCGGATAGTGTCCCGCGCGCCTAATACTCATCACGCCACCTCATATCTATCTATTTATCTACCCACCCATCATCGCCATCCCTTCGCTAACATATCTCCTCATCCAGTGAATACGAGGTTTCCCTCGTCGAGGAACATGAGCTCACTGCCGGTCCTTTGTCTCTTCTCCAAACCGCCACGCGCACACACACCCAGGTCCTGATCTCCTGCCGGAACAACCGCAAGCTCCTCGCCCGTGTCAAGGCCTTCGACCGCCACTGCAACATGGTTCTGGAGAACGTCAAGGAGATGTGGACCGAGAAGCCCAAGGGTGGTAACGGCAAGGGTGTCAACAAGGACCGCTTCATCAGCAAGATGTAAGCAATCGCCATTGCTCCCCACCAGACACCATTCTAACCCAATAACTTATAGGTTCCTCCGTGGTGACTCCGTCATCCTTGTCCTGCTCAGCTGAACACTGTTCACGTGACGCGCTCAATTCCCTTCTCGAACGGTCCTGGGCCGGTCCGGGCTTGGCTTCTCTCTCTGATCGAGCTGAAACCCGACGGAGACGAATTCTAGTTGACACAGACGAATGAACGATACCCTTTTAGTCGTGCGATACTTACGGGATTGGACGGGATGTTAGATTACATCATCACGTACAATCTGCCCTCCCCGCCCATTTAATCCAGCCCTCTCCGGACCTTGGCTCTCATATTCTCCTTCTCGTTTCATATATTGCTATTTTTCCGATCTCAAATTTCACCGTTTCTTCTCTCTGATTTACGGCGGGGGCAGATTTGGCGTTCTCCGGACTCTTTTGTTTTTTAAAGCTAGAAAAAGGAATCTGAAGTGGAGTATCTCGGCTTGATAAAAGTAGGAGGGGGCATTTACTCGAGAGGGCTAGATAGTCCTAGCCAGGATTATGAAATGTATCTGACTTGGTTGGGTATACTCTGACTGTTAATACTCAGATAAACCATAAAACAATGTACGAGTACCACCATTATCGCATTCACGTAATCGATTATCAATTCCAAAATAAGGCAGACCATTGCATGAAGTTGCTACCTTCCTACTTGATCTGATATTACCATAGTCATATGATAGATAGTACGAGATAAATGAATCCAACCATGATCTTGTCCATTCAATACTGAAACCTAAACAGTGAATACAAAGAAGTAGACATGCCAAAAAAACGCGCCCAATTTATCATCATATTCATCATCATGAAATTATATTAGAATAAGAAAAGTCCAAGAAATATCCCCATAATATCCTCATCAATGGATGCAAATTATATATATACCCTGGTCCTGAAGAAAAGAAAAGAATGCAAGTGACACTTTTCTCTCTCTCTCTCTCTCTCCTCCCAGCTCCCTTACAACGCCTCGGATAGACCGTTGAGGAACACGCTGAGTCCGTAAGCGCCGGGGTCGGGGATCTTGCCCACCCATTCGTCTTCGCCACCGACGTAGACGGATCGTCCCAGACTGGCCTTCATGTTCTTGGTGGAGTCGGTGCCTTCCTGTGCTGCTTTGGCGGCAACGTGCACGTCCTTGGCCTTTTGGAGCTGCGTGCAGAAGGGGACAAGGGCGTCCAGGAGTGTACGGTCACCGGGCTGGGCGGGGGTGTAACGGGAGAGTGCGGTGAGAGAGTAGGAGAGTGCAGCAGCCCAGACATCCACTGTGGCGGGGGTGGTGGTGCCTCGGTCTTGCTCGCGGAGACCGTGAGCCAGGGCGTTCAGGAAGATGGCGTAGATGGCTCCGGAGGTTCCGTCCATGACGTTCTCGACGATGCTGACGATGCGGTTCACCGCGTTCACGACGTCGTCGGTGAGCGGGGATGAGGGGTCTTCGATGAGCTTAAGGACGGCCTCGGCACCACGCTTCAAGCCCACGCCGCAGTCTCCGTCTCCGACGATGGTGTCGAAGCGGGTGACTTCGGGCTCAGCAGCAATGACACGCTTGAGTGCACTGCCTAGAACCTTCTTGAGGGAATCAACATCCACTATGATTTATGTTAGCTAAAGCCGGAGAGAATAGGCCGAAATAATCGACCAGATAGGGGTACTGACGCTTGACGTTGCTGGGCTGATCCTCGGGCAACTTGGTCCTCTTCAGCTCAACAGGAGCATCAGAGCGGTGCTCCCAGGTCTCAGGACGGATAGGAGCAGACCAGCCAACCGCCTCAGCGGGGGCATCCAGGAGTTCAAGGAAGGACTTGCCCTCGCCCAGTCCAGTGTCCACGAGCTTCATCAGGGAGATGCTGAAGCCCAGGCCGTTCAGACTGGTGAGGAAGGTTCCCTGGATCACCCGAATGGGCCGAACATTGTAGTCTCTGTTCAACTGACGGTACACCTCATCGGTGATACCCGAAAGTTCGAGAGCGCTCACACCACCCAAGTTGTTGATCAGCAGCACAAACTCATCATCGGGCTTGCGAGTGATCCAGGCGCGGTCGGGATCGTTGTGGTCCAAGAGCTGAAGGAGCATGGTAGCGACCAGTTCGGTCAGCTCGAACTTCTCCCGGTGAGATCCCGGCTCATTGTGGATGCCCATTCCGACCTCGACCTCACCATCGGGGATGGTCTCCGTTGGCGGGGCTCTGCCAGGGACGTGGACGTGCTCCAGGGAAGAGCCGACTGAGACGAGGTTCTTGTTTGCCAACTGAGCGGTGCGGTAAACATCCTCAAGAGATCCACTGATGCAGTCGGTCTTAGTTTACGCTTCTCAACATTTGAAAGGATCCAACTTACCCAGCTTCGGCCAGCGCGCTGACGATCTTCAAGACGAGGATACCACCACTAATACCGCGACGGCCGACCTTGCCGCCCTTCTTCTTGCCGACCCCAACATCGTCGTTGATGGCGAAGAATTCGGTCTTGATACCGGCGGCGCGGGCCTTCTCCGTCGCCATACCGAAGTTGAGGACATCGCCGGTGTAGTTCATGGGGATGATGAGGACACCCTTCTCGTTGTCGACGCAGTCCATGACAGCCTTGCGAATCTGCTCTGCGGAGGGAGATGCGAAAATGGTACCGGCGGCCGAGGCATCTAGGAAGCCCTTGCCAACATAGCCGGCAAAGGCGGGCTCATGGCCGGAGCCACCTCCAGAGACAATCGCGACCTTGGACTTCGTCGTATCCGGACGACGGAAAATGATTTTGTTCTCAGGGTCATAGGCGAGAGAAGGGTTTGTGAGAGTCAGGGAGTTCAGAGCGGTCTGGACCAGGTGGGTAGGGTCCGAGAAGAAGTGCTTGGCTGATGGCCGCGTTAGCGTATGTATCGGACAGTGTCTGATCCAGTGAAATTTGTGGAGAAGATCTGACTTCATGCCGGCTGTGGAAACCGGATCTTGGATTGCATGGTCTGACGCAGAGGGGCAAAAATCCTGGGGCAAAGGAATAATAGGGAAAAAACAGGTAAAAGAGAGGCTCTTTGGATAAAAGAGGTGTGTGTGTGGAACATACTTTGCATGATGGAGGGAGATCTAAAGGGTTGATCGCAACAAAAAACTGGGGAATTGGTGGTGTATGACGTTTGGCGGGCGCGTAGGAACACGATCCGGCTTGAAAGTGGGGTTCAAGGAAGTACGGGTACAAGCGCAATGAATTCAACACTTGAGATGGTGGCTAGTCGACTTTCCAGAAAGGCGACTGCTTCGACTCTTTATATACGCTTTCTCGCTAGAGCTTCGTTCTTGAATGACCTTGGCTTGTCAGTTTCCCTTCTCACACGCTTCGGGAACATTCGCAGCAAGCGTACCAAAGCAGATAATGGCAATTTCTGGGGATGGCGCGTAGGCTTCGGAATAGAGTCCGGATAAGGCGGGGAAAAAGTGGAGAAATCGGATTCGCCTGTTTGAGCGGCAGCTGTCAGTCCACTGATTTTCGTGCATCGAGAAAACTGGAGAATGGCATGGAAAGAAGGGATTATCATTTGCCAGTCGCACTCACGGTCACTTGTCAGGTGGGGGATCGGTCGATTGGCGGATATCCTCAAGTGTTTGGGGATGACCTTGTAGATCTCGGATAAAGATTTGGTAGGCGGATTGAGATAGAGGAAAGTCTGATTGGATTGGAGGATGGAGAGCAAGCCGGGAAGGGTCAATTGCTTGAGGGAGGAGAAGAAGGTTCTATGAGGAGTATAGAGAAAGCGATGAGGAGAGCCAGAATCCGAGTGCGAGAGCTGGACATAAATAGGACGAAGGACCGGACACGGAGTATCGTGGACGTGTTGGGGGAAGTAGTACTTCAGGATGTCGTAAGTCGAGTCGGTGACTAGTAGAGCAACTTGATTGATCCATCTTCCAACCGATTCTCCAAAAATTAAAAAAATCCAATATTATTATTATTTTTTTTTTGCTGCTCACATGAACAATCTCTGATTTTCGCATGACCGACCCATCGACCATGCGGTTCTGGATAAGGAAATCCAGAGTCGTTAGTTTCCAAGCTCGAGCTTGTAATCGACTCCACGCCCCCAGCCAGTTACGGTCTAGCGCTGTACCCCATGGGTCTGGAACCCGCCAAAATTACCCGCCGTGACTGGTGTCACTTTCCGGATGCTTCGGCTTACTATCTGTGGGAATTCCGCTTCGCCTGCCTTTTCTCGTGGATAATTATCCCTTGACGGCCTGAATCTTTTATCGGTACGGCTTCGGCCTGCTAAACCACTATCTACCTGACCAGGGTTGAGTTGGCTGCCTCTTCGTTCCAATGGTTCTGAGATCGACTGAGCCCGTGGGATGAACAGCGCTGTTCGCGGATGAGAACACGATAATCGAATTGTCCTGTATCAATTTGCAGAAGATTTGCCAACAGAGACATACATACATACGTTACTACATACATACATACTTAGGTACATACAGTAGGTACTAGTACTAGATGCATTGAGTCGAGAATGAGATCGTCAATCTACTACTTAGTAATACCAACAGATAGAGTCGACTCCGTGCGCACGCAGGGCAGTAGTATTGGGGGGAGGGGGGCACAATGAAGGCGATGTCACGGGTGCGTAACCCTTCCTTTTCCGGATACATTGATTGCCGCTGAGACGCGCAAGGATGTTCGAGAACCTGCAGCTTACTGGAGACACAACAATATTCTACACAAGCAACCCCACTAAATACAGAGTACCGTGTACAAAATAGACTGATTCTATTTTTCTAAATTTGGCGCTACTGAGTGGCGGAGGAATACTAATATTGGCAATTCTTGATTTAAAGGCATTGATTACTTGGTATGCTTAAGTACGCCACAAACATGGCAACAAAAGCATGCCTTGCTTGATGGCGAAGGGGGGTATGGGTGTGCTTGATTCCGTGAAGATAAGTGATATCGGATTGGATGACTGGTAGACTCTAGTGGTACCACTTTACTGTAGACATCAGGTAGATAGTATTGACCATGACCCCACTCAACTCAACCAGGTACCCTGGGCATGAATATTATCCGCCTGTAAAGTTTGAGAGTTATTACATGAGTCCAGCCCCATCTCATTCATAAGCTTGATGAAACTGTTGTTGCATATCAAAGCCCATGGGAATACAATTCCTGACCACCGCATACATGCATGCATATGATCTATGCTTGCTTTCTGCTGCCGTGCCCGCAGCTTAGGCATCCGTCGCGGCATGTTCTGTTGCTGGCAACCGCTGCAGAAAGTCAGGCATCCACAATGTAGTTGTCGTAGTCGTAGCAGTAGTACATTACGTGCTTTGTAGTACGTAGTCACCTTCAATTTCTTGGGCAAAAGATAAACCAAGTGGTCAGGTATGTATGGAGTACGAGCAACATTTCTCAACAAATGATGTGCAAGGCAAATAATATTGGAAGTTGACCATCCTTACCCGAGCCGCATGGGGGTTGCGC